TGCCTTGCGGGTCAGGCTTTGGTTAGCCAAAGGCTCCAGTTGTGGATTCCTCAAGAAAATTCACCTGCCTTGGCCTGGGCAGCCTGGCAGTATTCGGCCCACAAGTCAGTCATGGAACATTTTCTTTTTTATAAAGAATACTGTACCATGATTTGTTTGGCACGCGGTCTGACATCAGACGTGCGTGAAATATATATATATATATATATAAACAGTGTAATTATTGATACGTAAAAATATAAGTGATTATTCACGGTTTAATTATGTTGGTTAGTTGTAAACCGTTCAAATTTTAAAGGGCACATCCCTGTGGTTTATGTTTCGGAAGACTGTACCACGTGCTCTTGGACAAAATGGTTTATTATTGGTTGATTTATTTTGTGATAAATGCAATTCTTTTGCCACAGATGAATCCTGTATAGATCACGTGTGCTGCATGTTCCTTGAATCAATTTACTTTTATGAGTTCTCTGTATGTATGAATCCTTGGATAAGAAACCAGAATTTCTCACACACACACACACACACACACACTGATCCTCATCATGGGAAACTTTTCGACCTACAAAATAGTTCTCACATTCTATGCTTTAATTATTTTACAGAAATTCACCTGTCATTGCAAACCACAATATACTGGCACATTGTGCAACGAACCGGTCGACGCGTGCAAACAGCGTATTCAACATCCGTATTTGATGAACGGTGGTCTACTTGCAGCCGGGGATCGTGCTTGTAATGTGAACGAGGAAGGCAATTTATGCTATTCGTTCATCAGTAACGAGGGTGATGTGTACTATAAGTGCAAGTGTGACGGACGCAAATGGGGTCCGGATCCGAAACTGCCATACGATAATTGTTTGAAACGTCGTTCCCAATGTGATTCGATTGTTTGCATACACGGTAAATGTGTGGCAAATGAGCATGGTGCACAGGTGAGCAAGAGCTACTTACTCATTCGATAGAGTTAGGATGTATGTAAATAAGGAATAGTTTGGCGGAGGTAGTCAGAATCCAAACAATATAGCGAACAAGCTTGTCTTCATAGCTTCATCTTCCGACCTTTACAGTCATGTGTGTGTTTATATCTAATGTGACTGGTCCATTGGGGTTCAGTATGAAAATACAACAATGTCTATAAAATTTAATCAGAGTGAGTGGATAAAATGAGGACACTGTGCGAAGGGGGGACCAAGGTCAAGTCTGGAATTTTCGGTGACCTTTTTCACGTGCAATTTGTCACGCCATGTCGTCATCACGACATGACTGAGGTCATGTTTCGGATCATCATGTAGGTTTGATTGGGGCCAAGGCAACTGGGATGCAGCACCCATCTTCTTCTGTTTGCACAGGGATGGGTTCATGATTTTGATTGCTACAACTTCCGCCGTTGCCAAGTGACGTTTCCGAACGTGCTTCGATTTGTTTTGGGGTACTTTGTAAATGACTTTGAATGCATCGTTATCTGGCTGATGCCCGGTATCAGCGAGGTGGGCCATAATCGCACTTATTATTGTTTTCTTGCAATCCGTTCTAAGCCAAGCCGATTTATGTTCTCTGATCCTTTGAGAGAACTGCCTCATGGTTCGTCCTACATAATTTGCCGAACATGTTCAAGTGAAGGAATACGTAATCATAGATGAGGAGAGGATGGAAAGCTTATCCT